AATAGGACAATTTGAGCATCTACAAGAAAAATAACTTCAGTGAATTGAAGTGAAGCAAGTATGTCTAAACCTATGAACTACACACACCCCCACACACCTTGTGCACCCCTGGAAGACCGTAGTAAACAGCTCATTATTTTCAAAACTAGATAATCACACATTTATTCTGCTTTCCCTAAAAAATTTAACCCCCGCACAACTTGTGCACCCCTGGAAGATCATAGTAAATAGCTCATTATTTCGAAAACTAGATAATCATGCATTTATTCTGCTTTCCCTAAAAAATTTAACCCCGTGCAAACAAAGAGTAGATGAAGGGCCATTTCTATCTATAGAGGTATTTTATCTAATAAATGAAGGGATACTAGAATATTATAATTTTTCAATCCCTAATTATTAGTAATTAGTGATTAGCAAAGCTGTTAATGTTACAAAAAGAGACTATCAACAGTGTGTAAAACAGGCATGCAAGCAACAAAATTCAAACTGAGAGAAAGTTTACAGGGGAAACAATGCAGTTTCTTCAACAAGCAAATTGCAAGGCAGGACTGAGATATGCTCCAGGAAATAGCAAAGAATGAGTGAGCAAGTGATTGAATCTGAAAGTTAGGTTATATTCCCTAACTTAACTTCTAAGAGATACTATAGGTAACTCTTAGGAGAAGTATTCAAGGACATATAGGTGGGTTTCAATTTGTTTATTATTTTAATTAAATGTAGAGAAAGTATTGTGATCCACACAGTCAAAGGCTTTGGCATAGTCAATAAAGCAGAAATAGACTGTGTGGATCACAATAAACTGTGGAAAATTCTGAAAGAGATGGGAATACCAGACCACCTGACCTGCCTCTTGAGAAACCTGTACGCAGGTCAGGAAGCAACAGTTAGAACTGGACATGGAACAGACTGGCTCCAAAGAGGAAAAGGAGTACGTCAAGGCTGTATATTGTCACCCTGCTTATTTAACTTATATGCAGAGTACACCATGAGAAACGCTGGGCTGGAAGAAGCACAAGCTGGAATCAAGATTGCCAAGAGAAATATCAATAACCTCAGATATGCAGATGACACCACCCTTATGGCAGAAAGTGAAGAGGAACTAAAGAGCCTCTTGATGAAAGTGAAAGAGGAGAGTGAAAAAGTTGGCTTAAAGCTCAACATTCAGAAAACTAAGATGATGGCATCTGTTCCCATCACTTCATGGCAAACAGATGGGGAAACAGTGGAAACACTGGCTGAATTTATTTTTCTGGGCTCCAAAATCACTGCAGATGGTGATTGCAGCCATGAGATTAAAAGACGCTTACTCCTTGGAAGGAAAGTTATGACCAACCTAGACAGCATATTAAAAAGCAGAGACATTACTTTGTCAACAGAGGTCTAGTCAAAGCTACGGTTTTTCCAGTGGTCATGTACGGATGTGAGTTGGACTATAGCGAAAGCTGAGCCCTGAAGAATTGATGCTTTTGAACTGTGGTGTTGGAGAAGACTCTTGAGAGTCCCTTGGACTGCAAGGAGATCCAACCAGTCCATCCTAAAGGAGATCAGTCCTGGTTGTTCATTGGAAGGACTGATGTTGAAGCTGAAACTCCAATATTTTGGCCACCTCATGCAAAGAGCTGACTCATTGGAAAAGACCCTGATGCTGGGAAAGATTGAGGGCAGGAGGAGAAAGGGACGACAGAGGATGAGATGGTTGGATGGCATCACTGATTCAATGGACATGGGTTTAGGTGGACTCCAGGAGTTGGTGATGGACAGGGAGGCCTGGTGTGCTGCTGTTCATGGGGTCACAAAGAGTCGGACATGACTGAGCGACTGAACTGAACTGAAGTGAAAATATACTCTATTAAATTTAATGATACTTTTTGCATAAGTTTTTCTCAACACTATTAAAATTCCCTAAGCATATTTCTTTAAAAATTGCAAAGCAGGAAATGAAGAGAGATGGTGGGGAAGTAAAATGTGAGTGGACTTTAAACCAGCCAACATTAGTGTCACCTTAGAATTTGTTAGAAATGCAAATTCTCAAGCTCTATTTAGAAACTCTGCAATGGGGCTCAGGGGACTGCTCTTTAACAAGACTTCCAGGTGATCCTAATGTATTCTAGTTTGAGAACCACTACAATAGAAGAGATTTACAACACTTATCAACCAACTGAAATATGGCTAATATTTGGTCCAGATTAAAAAAAAATGTAAAAAAATTTAACATTTATCCTATCAAGGAATTGCTATATTTTTAAAGTGTGAAAATGGTACTGAGATATAGCGATATAAATGTAGATGTATATTTTTTAAAGCCTTGAAATCTGAGTAAAAAATACAATGCCTAAGATTTTAGAATAATATAAGAAAAACAGAAGCGAGCAAGGGTAGACTTAAGACTGGCCACGAATGTCATCTCCATTAACTTGGTGATAGTCTGGATATAGAGTCATCCAAATGAGTAGTCTTAAAAAATTTTTCGGGGCAAGTAAGTAAAAAAAAAACAAAACAAAAAAACAAACTAAGGGGAAGGCTCCAGTAGCCCTTAAAATTTCCTTGAATTTACATTCCTGTGATGTGACAGCTTTGTTTCCTCTGTATACATCCTTGCTATTGCTTCCTTTTAGGAATAGGGTGAATAGATGTTATCTCTCTTCCTTCTTTCTCCCTTTTTACTTTTTCCTCTTATTTATCCTCTTCCACTGAAATTTACTTTTAAAAACCTCAACATCCATTAGAACTCTGACTAGAAAGCATCAGTTTCAAAACCTAAGAGGGTGGGTGGTAAGATGAACTGTGTATTTTCATTTTACCAGGTGATGGCAGAATTTTGAGTGTGGTTTCTTCGCTTTTTATGTTTTATTTTAGATATTCCACCATTTGTCATCATTGTTGCTATGGTCATCATCTCCTTGTCACCCTTTTAATTTTTCTTTTGCCTGGAACAGTCAGTGACGTGGAGAAAAGACGATTAGAAGTCATCACCACCCATTGTTAGGCAGCTTTCTTGATAAGTGTTAGTCGCTCAGTCGTGTCCAACTCCTTTGCAACTCCATGGACCCTAACCCGCCAGGCTCCTCCGTCCATGGGATTCTCCAGGCGGGAATACTGGAGGGGCTTGCCATCTCCTTCACCAGGGGATCTTCCCAACCCAGGGATCAAACCTGCATCTCCCGTGTCTCCTGTATTGGTAGGCGGATTCTTTACCTGTCTGAGCCACCAGGGGAGCCCCCTTTTCTGATAACGGTAGCCTTGAAACAGAGATTTCTGCTGCATTTCATCTGCATTTAATGAGTTCCTGCAGTGCTCTCTCCCACCCATGTGATGTGATGGCTTTGAGGAAACAAGGACAAAAAAAGACAAAGCCCCAACTTTGGATCTCCTATCTCCTGAGGAGATAAGGTAAAGTGATGGGAAGAGACTCACCACATACTATATGGGGAAGTTATGATACAACACAGCCTTTGAGAGCCTGGGCTAGATGACTTTTAACTGCTTGGGTTCAAATCCTAACTCCGCCACTCACTAGCTATGTGATGCTGATCAAGTTATTTAACCCCTCTTGCCTCAGTTTCTTCATCTGTTAATTGAGTGTGAGAACAGTATAACCTTGTGGTGGTGTTCTCTTGAGATAATCCCTAGATAATCCATAAAATGTTTAACTTTATCCATAGATTTTATCAATTTCTGTGTTGACCATTGTTGCTTATATCCCACACCTTTTCCCTGGTATTCTGTTTTGTCTCTGAAAATATATCCTTTAACAGTTCAACTATCTTGGATACCATAGCTGTCAAAATACTGTCCACAGTTTTGCCCCCAAACTTATGGTTTAGCTGTACATAAAACTCTAGGTTGATAATTATTTTGTCCAGCTTTGAAAATATTATCCCAGTCTTCTGGATTTTATTCAACTGAAAAGTCGGCTGTTGGTTTACCAGCTGTGACTTTCTCACTGGTAGGAAACATGCATCTAAGAACACTACTGATAAATGTAAATATTTAAGTAACTAGCGCTATCACTCCACACAGGATTTCCAATTCCACAGATTAGGGAGGAAGATCATGGTATAAGCATTCTCTCATCCTTTATAAAGAAGCCCGGCAGGAACTGAAGGCCACTGTGACTACAAGGAGGCTCTGCAAATTAACCACATGCAACTATAAACTTGCCTCCAGGGGGAGAACTGAGAGTGGGATCAACTTGAATCTTCTCAAGAACCCAACAGATGGCACTGGGTATGAAGGAAACTGTTGAGGAGCTCCACTGTTAAACTCCCCTAAGCGACTACTTGCCTTCCCTTTCATGCTTTCCGATTCCTGTAACAGGGCAACTTTATGTTTAAGCGTATGAAGCAAGAGTGACAAAACGTTACTCTCAAACACTGTCCCATGGTGAGGGGAAGGGGGAAAGGAACAAAAACAAAAACTGCACTGCCCCTTTCAGGCCAACGTTTACCCTTATGTTCAGATTACTAAAAATACGTATCTAGAAATAAGGCAAATCAAAACAGATGTCTCCTTGGAGATGAGATAAGTAAAATTCTAGCCTCTTTTATTAGATCTTGGGTCATATATTTGGCTTAAAAAAAACACACACATACAACATATAGTTCAATTAAGAATTATATAAACTAAATTTTTCTTCTAGATCTCAAAATGCTCATGGAGAGCGAACTTGCACGATACGTGGCACACAGCACATACTAGAGAGCTGACCCCACAGAAATATTCATGTAAGCAAAATATGAATTTCTCATTACATAAACATCACCTGAGCTTATTTAATCAACACCCTTGTTTAAAAAAAATTAATCTGTGACCAAAAGCACTACCACGTTTGTTAGGTACCATTCTTATTCAAATTACACCCCCAAAAAAGCCTAAAAATAACTCAAATGTAGAAATTAGCCCAAGTGCTAAGGCTGCCTATGGCTCTTGCTGTAAAATAGTTGCTGGGTCTGATTTGGATATCTGAAAAGGATGACAGAAATATAGGGTTCTTCTTGATTTCAAGAGAACTTCCCAGAAGGAGGTGGAGGGCCAAGAAATCCACCTGCCTGCTTGGTGGCAGCTCGTGAAGGGGCAAGGCCAAGAATCTTCTGGATGTTCTGTGAAGGAAACAGAATAAAAACTGGGTTTTAGTATGAGATACAGAGAAAAGTATTTAAAACACAGCTCATAAAGAGAAGCCTTACAAATAAAAAGTACTGATATCACCTAAAGCAGAATGATTACTACTGTGTTACTTTTCTGCCTTTTCTGAGTCTTATAGCTGAATTCAGTCATTATTACAACACCTGAAGCTAAAACTAGTCAGTATCAACTTCTTGAAATAAGTGAAAGAATTAAGAATCTTGCAAAGTAATCTGAATCCAGAATCCACCTATATATTTTAGCACAGCCCCTCATCTTTTTCAGTTGTCCCACTTAAATCTAATTCAGTAGTTTTTTGGTTTTTTTTTTTTTTAGGAACTGAACTTTACCAAACTAGAACTCGTAAACATTATTTGTATACTCAGATTTCACCAGTTAATATAACACTGACTTAAATCACATACACACAGCCCTGAGTAAAACTACCACAAACAGTTCGGGAATAAACACAGCTGGCTCTTGAAGGGCACGGACTCAACCAGTGGGAGCAGAGCGGTGCAGGCATTCTAGAGAGCGCCAGGAGTGGGCGGCGTGATGTGGGGAGGGGCTGCTGTGCTTTAAAGGTGGAGGAGAGAGCTACATGAATTTGGAGGGGTTCGTAAAGGTCAGTTAAGATCTTGTACAGCATCTGTAAGAGGAAAAAACCTTAAAGATATCTAATTATGCTTGCTAACTCTTTCATTTAATATTTGAGAAATCAATGAAAACCTGGAAGAGTAGGAAGGCCTGTCCAAAATTACTGATAAAGTCCCACAAGCCTCAAAGCATGGCCATAGAGAAATAAATACTAAAAAGAAATCTAAAAACAAGAAGAAAAACAACCATTAGTAGTTCAGGTAAGTTTTCCCCAGTAAAGCTGGAGAATGTTTGTATTACTTTCATAATAAAAGTAGCTCCTTCATGCCCTCTTTAAAAATCCATTGCACAAAGCAGTAAGAAGACCAAATAACAGAATGCCACTCCTATTTAATCAGTAAGTATTCCCTCACCACGTACAATGTATCCAGCAAAGGAAGGCAAAGTGATGGGAAATTAAAGATAAAATCTAAAATAAGACATTACAGAATTAGCTACTGATAAACACATTTGTCTAGCTAACAAATACAATAATATAATCTAGACAAAATGTACAAAGCATCCTTGCTCAGTTATTCTGTAGAGACAAGGGTCAATTAAGTGAGTCCTTATCATTTTAGCGATAAAGACCAGTGTAAAAACCTCTAGTGCCCTTCAAATCACAGTAAACTGTGATTTAAAGAAGACAAGTCAAAGGAAAATAGGAAATATTTCAAATGGCAGACTGGAAGGGTAGACTGTTGACAATCTCATTATGAATTAAAAACATATGAACGACTACTGGACACAAGCCGCTGTTCTGGATGGAAAACAGCCCCAACAGCAACGACCACAGTGGCAACAGAAATGTTAAAACAAGAAACTTCAGCAGCCAAGACTGAAGTTCATGTAAATCCAGGCAGGTTTATGTTTCGTTCTCCTTGTGGATCTCATCCCAGACTCCCTTTGTAAATACCAAATCAAGTGTATCAGTGGTACATTACTCAAGTATTTGTATTTTAATACCAATGCTCTGCATTTACTATATGCAATCTTATCTTTTAGTGAAATTCTAAAGATGAGTTTGAACTGCTGTTCTCTCACAATTGAATCCACACTGTTTTATTTTTAATGTTTATTTATTTTTGACTGTGCTGGGTCTTTGTTGCTGTATGAACTTTTCTCTAGTTGCAGTGAGCTAGGGCAACTCTTGGGGCTTCCCTGTGGCTCAGATGGCAAAGAATCTGCCCGCAATGCAGGAGATTGGGGTTTGATCCCTGGGTTGGAAAGATCTCCTGGAGAAGGAAATGGCAGCCCAGTCCAGTATCCTTGCCTGGAGAATTCCATGGACAGAGGAGCCTGGTGGGCTGCAATTCATGAGGTCTCAAAGAGTCAGACACCACTGAGTGATTAACACTTTCACTGTCAGGGCTACCCTCTAGTTGTGGTGCGCAGGCTTCTCACTGTGCCTGCAGTGGCTTCTCCCATCGTGGAGCACAGGCTGCAGGCACGTGGCTTCAGCAGTCGCGGCTCCTGGCCGCTAGAGAAGAGGCTCAGCAGTTGTGGGCGCATGGGCTTAGTTGCCCCACAGCATGTGGGACCTTCCCTGGATCACAGATGGAACCCGTGTCTCCTGCATCAGCAGGCAAATTCTGTACCACTGAGACACCCGGGAAGCCCCTTCCTACCTTAAAATATATATATATTATTTATTTTATGGAATAGTTTTTCTTAGATAAAATTTTCCCTGATTCTCTGCCTATGAGGTCTTTTCCTCTAAAACACATGTAGAAACAAACTGGTGGTTTTAGATGCAAAAGACCTTGGTAAGAGACTAGAGGTCATGATTCTCTCCACAGTCCTTAGTTATCCTTGTTTTTGAGATGAGAAAGCTGGGGCAGACAGAGGCTATAACTCAGGCACAGTTTTCCTCTATTAAACCACAACTCTCTAAAGAAATGCACGCCTCTCTTGTAGGTGCTGACTGCTTTCCTATAGTCTCTCAATTCTCCTCCAATTTTTCAGGCCTTCTTACAAGATACAGTTTAGAAATATGCATTATGCTAAAAGATAGAGTTTTGATATATTAAGAAGATGAAACAGAAGAATGCTTAACAGAAATACAAAATATAAGATGTGATAATACTTTGGAAGTTATTTTTTGGAAAAATTACTTTGAATTTCTGTCCAGTCCTGTGTAATCAGGTAACAACTGAAGAGTGTGTGTCAGAAGGGAAAAACAAAGGAAAAACATTTTCCCGTAATCATGCCTTCTTTTGGCAGGAAACTCAGAAAAATACCACTACAGGATTTGCGTTCCTTCCTCTCTGCAAAGGATAAGGACTGGTGATCAAGAAAAGGAAGTTGTTGGTTGCTAACTGGATATTTTGGGAAGACCCAGGTCACTGGCAATAAACACATTCTGCTAAATTTTATTTCTTAGTCACTTAGCTAAAATAACTCAAGCCATAGCCGCCCTCACTTCGCTCTTTGTTAGTTCCTCTGGCATCCGGCAACCAACCTTCCGTTCCAATTGATTACAATTTCTCATCAAGTTCCCATAACATAATCTTTACTTTATGCATAATGCTGCCTGTAAAATCCAAAAATCTTGAATGGCCCCATTCAACAGTTCCAGGATTTTCACACTGTATCAGAATAGGCTGTTCAGGAGGATGACAAAGATATTAAATATTTAATGACAGTACAACACTGATGTAGCTGAAATAGTACTGGGTAACAGTCAGAAGACTTGATTTCCAATACTGGCAAATTATGCCAAAAAAAAAAAAAACCCAACATGCAATATCTTTTTATTGTACCAAATCTCAATTTTCATTACATTTACAAGAAGGAGGCTCACTAGATCAATTATTTTTCGACTCTTTAGTCACAGAACCCTTCCTTTAAACAAAATCTCATGTAAAAAGTCAACAAAGAAAACTGATAAAATAGTGTTGGGAATCTGAAGCCCCTTGTTGGGCCCTTCGAGTTTTCCCACCAAGCACCTTGAAAGGAGCCGCAGTCCTGTGTGACTGTGGCACTTTAACATTCTTAAACACAGCTGTGTTGTAATAAATTATATTGCCGACTTCAACACATATCTTGCAAGGTGAAAATCAAAATTCTAAAAGGATAAGCACATCAAATCTGCACCAGAATAACATTATTTCCTTCGTAAAATTGAATGAATGAGTATTTTTCTGTCTTTAGGTTGTCCACAGGCCTCTTTTGTAAATAGGATCTCTTTTGGGAAGATTAGGGGATCAAGTGACAATTTCAATCAGTCAAGAAGAATGTTCTGAGTTTTAGTTTTGTGTAAGAAGATAGATGCTCTATCCTTTTAAAAGCTCATAACAGATAGTAGAACCCAGCTGGCACTATGTGGGGGATTTAAAACTCAGTATGAAATTATAGTCTTACTAGTTTGAAGTACCAAAGGACAGAGTTTAGGACAACCATGAACGTGAAAGTGTTAGTCACTCAGTTGTGTCCAACTCTTTGTGACCCTATAGACTGTAGTTCACCAGGCTCCTCCATCCACGAAATTCTCCAGGCAAGAATACTGGAGAGGGTTGCCATTTCCTTCTCCAACCATAGCAACTGAAAAAAATTCCTAGAAAATAGAGCTAACAGGGGACTGTAAAATTCTGCATCTAAACTTTGCCCAGGTGGCGCTAGTGGTAAAGATCCTGCTTGCCAATGCAGGAGATATAAAAGATGCAGGTTTGATCCTTGGGTCAGGAAGATTCCCCCGGAGAAGAAACGGCAACCTACTCCAGTATTCCTGCCTGGAAAATCCCATGGACAGAGGAGCCTGGTGGGCTAGTCCATGGGGTTGCAAAGAGTCAGACACGACTGAAGCAACTTAGTATGCAAACTCTGCCCAATTCTCTGGTTAACTCTTAAACCATTCATGGGAGAGACTGCCTTCAACCAGCTAAGACTAAAATAACTGAGATTTCCTAGATGTCTACCACAAAGACAGACCTTGGAGTTTGAATGCCAACTTAGCTGTCCACTTAAACAAACAAACAAACAGACAGACAAAAACACCCCTCTCTGTTAGTAATAACAGAATCTAGACTCTCTGTAGCTTATCATTTACAATGTACAAGATGCAATCCAAAATTGAGACATACCAAGAAACAGGAAAACATGACCCAGACAAAAGAAAACAGGCAACAGATAGAGTTAAACCTTGAGATGATCCAAACACTGGACTTAGTAAGCAATGCTTTAAAGAAGCTAATTAACCATGCCAAGGGACATAAAAGAAAACATATTCATTCACAATAAATGAACAAATACTAAACTTCAGCAAGGAAGGAAAAAGGCTAAAAAATAACCAAATGGAAATTCAGGAGCTAAAAAATACTATATCAAAAATTTAAAATCA